AAGCCGTTCAAAATTAGTATTTCAAAAATTTCGATAACATACTAATTTTAAAAAAATTTCGACGATCGTATGCTAATCGAATTTACAAATTGCTTATATCATCTCAAAACATATTTCGAGAACTACATTATAGGCATATCGAAAATAGATAAAAATGTGTTAAACGTGAGTTCGAGAACTACATTATAGCCATTAATTCTTATTTATTGATCATATATTATCAAATTAATTGGTCACAAATTATTTCATGGTCACAATAAAAAATTTTGATATATCACTCAAAAAAATTATAGGTCACAGTATATTTGTAAGTCGTGAATTTTCAAATTAGTTGGTTATAAATTATTTTTCAATCACAAATTATCGAATTTTTAGCTCACGATTAAATAGTTTGTCCCAAATAATCAAATACTTGGTCATATATTAACCAAATAGTTGATCACATATCACCACCACCAACACAACCTAATAGCACCACCACCACCAACATAGCCTCACTATCAGCAACATAGACACAGGCTCAATCACCCATCACCACCATCGGCCATTTCACTTCCGTGTGGTGAACTAGCTGCGACAGCACAAATAGAGCGCCACACACAGATTTGAGCGTCGACTTTGGACGAAATTTTGTTCCGATCTGAGATCATGGGTCCAATTTTGGTTTTAGATCTTAGATGCGGTACAAGAGCACGAGGTGGCGGCGATTCTCCACGTTAAACCTACTCTTAACCTCAATGGTGTCCCCTTTCGTCGAAGAACCTGTAAAGGTGTAGCGCCACCTCAGCTCCGCTTGCAATGGCGCAGGGCTACAACTATGCGAGGTGACGTTGCGCCTCTGATGCCGTAGTGTGATGGTGGTGCTGGGGGAAGGGGTGGATGGTTGTGGCGAAATTGGTTTGGGTGGAGGAGGGAAAATTGGTGGTGTTGGAGAAATGGCTTTATGGTATATGACAACGATGAGGGAAATAATTGAGAGTTCGTAGTGGGGTTGGGATGGGTAAATTTTATAATATTATTAATAATTTAATT